TTTTCGGAAAACAATTATTTTGTACTATCTAATAAAAGAAACAAACCTACTACTATTAGAATCACATACAAAAAATCGTATTTAAAAATGAAATCTTTTTATATATTTTTAATTTTTTAAAGAAGATATAATAATAAAAAGAATACCGTTCATCTATATTTCATGAATATTTATAATTGTTTTTTTTTATGCATAAACACGAAGAGTTCATCATATTTGTTTGACAAAATTTGTATTTTAAAAAATCTTTACTAAATTGATTAATATACCGCGCGAAGCGCGGCTATGTTTTCTAGTATTAAAAATAAAAATTTACTATTTGATTTTGGTGCTCACTCTGCCTAGGAGAGTGAAATACACTCACTTTTTTCAGTTTTAAATAGTTTGGGGGTGATAGGACTCCCGTAAAGTTTAAGTATGTAGTTAAAAATATGATAATAGATTTGGGGGGCATTTGACCATTTTCTCCACAAACTACTAAATGAAAAGTTTCAAATTTTGGAGAGCATTTTCTTTTTAAAAAATAAATTAAATTAAACCAGAGTGTTGAGCAAAAACTTATGTGATAAAGCCAAACTAGTAGATTCAATAAGTATTTATGATCTCACAATGGTAAAAAATAATCATATATGTAAAGTCCTAACATGACAAAACAGAGGTCACAAAAAAATAAACATCGACTTTGCTTTCAACGTCACCGTGCATCATTCGCTTTTGCCTTTAATTTGTTCAAGTAAAATCATTAATATCTCTCGTTAGTTCAACAAATTTTATGATATTCTAACAACTTAGTCTAGACTTTAAATTCGATATACCACATTGGTCTGTAACGTTGGCCAAAAATTTAATAACAATATAACTTACTTTATGTATGTAGCAGTAATAATTTAAGTGGAGTGAGATGGAGTAGATTTATGCGGGCAGAACGGGATAGATTAAAAATAAAAGAAAAAATAAAATGCAGGACCGAATAGGGCGGATAAAAAATTATATGAGTTGAACTAAATTCGTCTAGTACCCACCCCGCATTGCCCCATTATCATCCCTAATCTTAATCAAATAGAAACTCTTATGGGAATTTAATTCACGACTTTAATCTTAAGTTAGAAGATTATAGCTCTTGAACGAAATCAAAACATCCAATAGTGTTTTGTAGTGTTTATGCACACATAAAGTAGTCTTATTTTTATTTTTTTTCATTCAGTGTTCGATATTCGTATTGGAGTTCAATTATTTCAGATTTGTGTCACATAGGGCCCCATTCATAAGAAGGACCGTATAAAAAAAATACATAACTTGAACCAAGACCTCTAATTAAAACTGACCACATCTTTGTGGTAGCATAAAGTAGTCGTTTTGTGGTTATCACAGGAAAAAAAAAGCTAATTTTTCAATGCCCTTCTATCTGGGAAATAAAAAGAGGTTTTTCACGAATAGTTACTATAGGAAATTTAATTAGGCTCCTTAGCTACAGCTTGTCTAGTTACACTCCATATCTATAGTTTCAGTAGCTAATATTTTTGTTTGTATCTTTCGCATGAATTTAATATTATATACAATTCATTTTTCAAAATTTTCAATGAATTTAGGCGATAATTTTGGTTGGGAAAAAGGAAAACAATCTCATAAATCACGGAATGTATCTCATTAGAGTTTCATGCCAAAAATGACTCCCTCCATACTAACAATTGTTTATTATCAATTGTTTTGTATTTATATTTGTATATATTGACTTATTTGAGTTAGATATTGCGTTTACTGAAAATGTATAAATTACACATTTATTTTGCAAAAGTATAATTTTGTTGATATAATTTTTAGATAATTGTCTGAAAATTATAATGAATCTGTATATGTAATAGAATATAATTTACATACAATATGTATTTATATGAAGTGACTATTAGATTTATTATTATATGTATAATTGATTGTTAGACTTATACCGTTAGGAATTTTTCATAACTTATACAAATCAAATGTATCAACAAATCATATATACAAAAAAGTTAATTGACAAATATAAATGAATTTATTGTATATGTACTACTGATGAACAAAAAAATTATACAATTAAATGTATATATTTGTATAAATTTGGGTTGATTTATAAGAATCAATTGTGCATCTGAGGTATTATACGTATAAATGACTTTTGGACTTATACACTTAAAGAATTATTCATAACCTATACAAATCAATTGTATCAATAAATCATATATACAAATAAATTAATTGATAAATACAAATGATCGAATCTATCGTATATGTACCATTGATGGACAAAAAAGCATACAATTAAATGTATATATTTATCTAAAATTAGTCTGATTTATACGAATCAACTGTGCATTTGAGGAACTGTCCTCCAATTCACATACCGTGAAGCACCTAAATATTTGATTTTAAACGCAACACTCTTGGAAGGAGTTTGTTCATTCGGGATTTGTATGTATCTATGGAGATAACTGGAAAAAAATAAAAAATCTGAGGAATATACAAATATAAATAAAAAACAATAGATTGAAACCATCTGAAGAGATAAAGAAATAAAAAAAATATCACAAGAAGTTATATGAAATTGTGGGGGCACGATTTGAGAGGGAGACACTGATTTTTTAAATTTGAAAATCTGATTGTGCTTGAATGAATTAAGGAAAAATTTAGTAAAAAGTTTGTAACGAGAGAAAAAGGTTATTTGTATAATTAGGAAAAGCGGAATATAATATAGTATACAAATCGAAAGTTGCTCCTAGTAAAGAGGATTAAACGTTGGTGGCGAGTAGTAATTAGCGAAAATTATAGCTACGATAACTAATTAACTAGTATATATATTTGTTTACTCATGTAATTTCCCAAATAAAAATGATACAAACCGCATGATATGATTTCTCACTCGTTCCCACCATTTTAACTAACCATAAGTTGTTACTTCCTTATTTTCTATTTATGTGATTTATTTTGAATTTTATGGTTTTTTTAAGTTAAAATTATAGCACTCCTTCGTTAGAGGCATACAAGACAGGTTTTTTTTAACTTATCAATTTTTATTTTAGCACTCTATCTCAACTTTGTTCTATTTTAAAATACAAAATACTAGTAATTTTTATGATTTATTTATGCTCTTCAACTGCAGTTTGCATTTTATCGATGTTTGTCTATTATTTTTTGTAAAAATGAAAATAAAAATCAGCGAATGATCTTTTTTTTGTTTTAAAAATATTTTTTGAGAGTTTTCTCTGTATTTTTGCGGGAAAAGATGAAATTGTATGATTTTTTTCTTAAAAGATTATTGACAATCCGACGAAATCTGTCGCGTTTTAGATATTTTTAGTAATGAGCAAGAGTTCTTTTTTACTCGTATTCAAGACGAGTTCTTTTTATCCATATTGAATTGAATTAAAAATTAAAAAGCAAATATTTAGTCAAGATAATCAAAATGATCTATAAAAAGTCAAAACAATGCTCAATTATTACTAATCTTCCACCATAATTCGTGTTCTCCATATCGTCTTATCTAATGTCATGTTTTGATAAGCAGAAAAATACTTCATATCATTTCTAATCACTTCTTTCCTATACTTCTTCAGCCTAAATGCACCTCTTTCCATACTCACCTTATTCAACTTCTCACACCTCCTTATTGGATTATTTGTACATGTATCTCCTCTTCACATGCACAAATAAACTCAACTTTGCTTTCCTCATCTTATCCACGACAGAGGCCATACTCTTGTCTAAAATGTCTTCATTCTTAATTTTATCCTTCTAGTATGCCAACACATCCATCTCAACATTCTCATTTTCACAACTTGCATTTTCTAAATATGTAAAAATTTTACTAACCAATACTCATCCTCATATATGAAGATCGTTTTAATCACCACTTTATTGAAATTACTTATGAACATTATATTACACGAATTCAAAATTAAATGGATTAGCCATTATTTTAGTAGTAGTAAAACAATAGGCGTTAACCATGGTCCATGAGTATAATTGAAGAGGAAAAATTGGGTAGAGATTGGTCGTAAGTCCTAACCACAGCTCTAATTGCCGCGTGGGGAAGTGTATTTAATCAGGGTTAAGCACGCTGCTGCAACAATGGCATTTAATGACATTTATCTCCTTTCTCTATCTACAAACATTCCGCGAGATTCCCTTTATTCATTCTTTCACTCGTAAATTCTCACACACTCACTCTCTCTCTCTATACAAATGCATGTTGAGCTTTCACTCTCTACACAGAGGGTGCACGCGTCCGGAACCGACTCTCTTTCTCTCTCTCTGTAGGCCTCTTTAATTTCCACTCTCTCTGTCTGCAGTTTTGCAGTCTCTGTAGCACAGTGTGTGCGGGACGAGCTTGCTCTCTCAACAAAGTACCGTACGTGTATGTGTGTATGATCATCGAAATCTCGACCTTCATTCATATTTACTGCAATTATACATACAGGCTTTTCTTTTTTTTGCTTCCACTGTTTTGGTATTTCTGGCGTTTGTTGAAACTGTGGTGTTTGTCTCATTGAGACTCAGAAAAAAGCTTATTTGCTTTTCGCAAACTCTGCACATTTTGTCTCTGTTCATTCCACTTTTTTCTTACTATTTGAATGTGTTCTTAATTATCTCGGTCTTCTGTTACTGTGTATAAGTATATAACTTCGGTCTTCTGTTACTTTCTTCTTCGTCTTGTTCGGCGCTTCTATTGATTTGATGTTTGAGTTTATAGCATTTTTCTTTTAACTTCTCAAAAAGTATGTAATATATATATATATTGCTTTATGTCAACTCATACTTTTTAAGTTTATCAAGTCATTTCACGCATCTCTCATATTACTTTTTCCTTTTTCTCTCTGTGATTTCAGTCAAAGACCGAGTCCCAGCTGATTCAACAGTTCTTTTTTGAATATCTGTGAAAAGTTCCGCCGTCAGCTGGACCGGCGACAGTGAATCGGCTCTTCGTCTGTTGTCTCTCTCCTGAAACTTCCTTCCGTCACTTGGAGTCGAAACATTCATCTGAAATTTTTTGCGAGTTTGCGTCTTTGGGAGGCCGGAGCATATAATATATTTGTTGATTCGGTTTCATAATGAGCTCTCAATCATTGAAACGGCGAAGCAGAATCGGCTTGACCTCCGCCGTGTTCGTGTTCTTTCTTCTCTTAATCATTGGACCGGAGTTTTTTATAGGTGTGTATGCATTGTATTTACGATGAGAAATAGTTTATCTGAAAAATCACATGCTGTGCACAGCTGTGGGAGAAAGAGAGAGAAGAAGAAGATAGTTATGTATGGGGTCGGTTTTCAATGAATGAGATTGCATTTATTTGTTAGGTCTGCTTGTTCTATGGTTTAATATTTGCACACGAGGATCTTTCCATTATTTATTTGATTAGTTAGCTTTTTCATCCCCTTTTTAACTACAAAACTGTGTACATTAAATTCTGTAGACGGCTACAGCTTTTGATTTTCATCCATCCATAGATTTTTTTCTTTAATGCTTCATAAATCGACTTTGATTTCAGGCAGACTTATTGGTCCCAATTTCATGGCGGAAGCAAATTCAGCCGTCACTGGAAACACCAATGTTGGTCCTCATCGCAAGCTTCTTAAGCAAGGTTAGTCCAAAAAAAATTCAGTTGTATAACTCGACAAAGAAAAACGATTTGAAATTTAATTTTGCTCTACGAAATCCCCCTTTTTTGCTTTAAGGTACGGCCCTAGACAGCCCAGCAGCAGGCAGGCAGCGTTCTGTTTACTGTACAATTTTTTGCTTTGTTAGGTGGCGCACGTCAGTTTTTGTTTTCTCATGTCTATTGGTCATATACTCACAATACAAATATTTGTCATAGTAACCCATAAGTTGAGGAAAAGGTTTAAACTAATTGAAAGGGCAAAAAGAAGAAGAGGACAAAATATATAAATGCATATTTACTCGTTTGCTTTATTAGTTTCTGCTCTGGTTACATTGTATTACTTTGCATGCATTTTTCATAATCTGGGAAACTGCTACTGCAACTTCAGTATTTTTCTATTTTTCTGCTTATAAGTCTATGTCTTGTGCCAGATATATAATATCACTTTCCAAACGATTCTTTTGACTTTAGAAAGTTGAAACAATTCTATGCAGTCTGCATTTATTTTATCTTATAAACAGAAAAGAGTGAAATAAAATTGTAGCTAGTGTTTCCAATTTGTATGGTATTAAAAGAATATTTGGCATCTCTTGTCTTCTATCACTGCTCTACAAATATGGTGTATTTGCTCTGTGTTTCACGTGCACATTGCTGGCCTCCCATTAAAGATACTTGAAGGAAACATAATTTAAACGCCCCAATTCCCTATATCAGCATTTCTGATTGTTCCGTCCCTTTCGATTTAGGCCAAAATAGTCTTGATTATCTTTAGCTATTGTAATAGATAACATTACCTTATTTTTCAAGTCTCTTATTTGAAAAGGCATATACATGTAGATGACCATTTAAATAATAATATTTAATCCATGTCCTAAAACTAGAACTCATACCAGCAATATTATTTATTGCACCCATCAATGCTCAAGTTACAGGGTCAAACCCGACCCAACATTTGATAGGAAAAAAGGAAACAACCAACTACTTGGAAAAGGACCAACCAAGGATAGGTCTGCTATTGCTGTTTGAATTTTTTGGTTACTTTTTGACATTATGTGCAATTGCTTTTTGGTGCAGGGAATGAAGTGGAAACAAACCGGATATGGGGTGACAAATGTTCAAAATCTGATATTGTGATAAATCAGGGACCTACAGCACCTCTACCCAGTGGGATACCCACGTACACAGTGGAGATAATGAACGTCTGTGTCTCTGGCTGTGACATCTCCGGCATCCATCTCAGTTGTGGTTGGTTCAGCTCTGCTCGTCTTATTAACCCTCGCATTTTCAAGCGCTTACATTTTGATGATTGTCTCGTCAACGATGGGAAGCCTCTTATTAATGGTCATACTATATCCTTCCAATATGCCAATACTTTCCGTTACCCACTCTCTGTTTCCTCTGTTGTCTGCTGAAGGGTCTAATAGCATACACTAAACACTAGTTAAAAAAAAACACTTAAAACAACAATGATTTAATATAGCTAGATAGCCTTTAGGGGAAAAGCATTTCCAGTAGCTCTTTTTTCTTTTGGGCTTTTATAGATTGAGAACACCGCCTAGCTCTTCCTCGATTTGTCTCTTTTACTTTGCGTCTATTTGGAAGGACGTGGAGATGCAGACTTATGGATGAGTGTTTGCTGCCGAAAAGTAAGAAAATTCTGTTCGTAATTCTAGAGATCTTGTTTTGAAGGGTCTTGACTTTTTGTTCATATCAGAGTGACTTAACTGAGGAAAGAAAGCTAAAATGCAGCTGTAGTTTTTGGGTTTTGAATATAAAGTATACAACTCTTCTCGTGTGTTTCTCTTTATTTGGATCAGTGTACATGCTCAGAATGATTGTTGTTGAATCTTTTTTCGTATTCTTTGACAACACCTAATTACAATGGATTTTGACCAAGTCAATTATTCATTTAACAAGTCTTAATATTGACCTGTCACTTATTTCATTGTTGATGAACTTGGCTTTTTGAAAATTCCAAACTATAGATTTGGGTCAGTGGCAATTTTTTAAAATAGAACATAAGAATTATCATATTGTTCAAACTTTTTTCGTAGCTTCTTCTAGAAAATTTTAGAAAGCATCGTCGTCCTAACGTCGGATCACTGTTAAACTTCAAAAAATGTGAAAAGAAAAATTGGTCTCATTCGAACTGGAGTACAAGAAACGATTTACATCTAACAAGTATTTCGAGGCTTATAGACGAATTGATGAACAAACCAAAAATTAAAGCTACGGTTTTCAACTATTTAGAAGAATGTTCATCTATATCTATCTATCTCTATTACATTAAAAACATAAACTCTTAACTTGAATGTTAAACCTAACTTAGGTTGTGATTTTTTCGATGAGTTGTGACTTTTCCGATAAGTTGCGATTTTTTTCAGAAGGTTGTGATTTTTTGATGAGTTGTCACTTTTTCAATAAGTGGTGACTTTTCCAAAGGATTGTGACATCTTGGAAAGGTCATGACTTTTCAGATAAGATACATAAAATACTTGTTCATACCACCCTTTGTTGACTATAAATAGAGGGGTTTTCTCTCATTTTTCAACCATAATTTTTTTTTAATCTTCTTCTTGCATTTTAATTTTTTTTGTGTGATTTTTTGTCGTTCAGTAAGGCCGAAGTCTAGCGGAATATGAGGTACCACTATTCTGATGAAGTAAATCGTTCTATCCTAAGAGGGTATATTCCATAACCTTGAGTACTTGAGGAAAATAATTTTTGATGATACAATAATTATTTTTTTGCTTAATATATATATTAGTATGTAATGTTCTAATATATGAAGTTAACATGATATAGTGTAAATTCATTTGTTTTTGTTAATAATTTCTCTGGTAATGTAGATATGCTTATGAATATATTTTTCCAAAATTTAGAGAATTGTCATGATTTATTTTTTAATGTTCAAGACAAAAGAATGACTTTATTTATCAATGATACTTGTGTGATTTAAATTGTCATGAAGTTTGCTTCAAAATATGTATTACTATATAAACATTGCCCTTTTGTTTTACTTATTTACTATTTCAATATTTTAGACGAAAAAAAGTCCATATGACTTGTAATAACGTCAGTTGAAGTTTGTATTAGTTTAATTTTTATTATTTATTTAATATAGCTAACTTTTATGAGAAAAATATTTTCATTAATGCTAAACTTATTATTCAAATATTCACTTAAATAAGCAAATACTATTTACTACTATAACATATATTTTCTGAATTAGTAATCTCGGAGAGTATAAAATATATTTTCTGAATTGGTAATCACGTTCAGCGCACGTGTCAAAAAACTAGTTACTACAAATTTCGAAGTTCTCTTTTAAGTTGAAAAAATTGATAAATGCCGCTTTCTCTGCGTAATTTCAAATCAGTTGAAGTAAAGAATAGGTACTAATACCAACCAAGATTGTGGTAGGAATGGTAAATAATCTTTCATCCTTAACCAAGAGATTTTGGATTTGAGTCACCTTTGGTACGGAGTCACCTTTTGGGTACAGAGTGTTTTACCCGGGTTTGAGTCGCCTTTTGGGTACGGAGTGTTTTACCCCAATGCAGGAAATCCCGTCATGAATTCGAATTTAGTCCAGCTACTGTGGTAGCGAACACCGGGTGGTGGGAAACAAAAAACCAAAAAAAAAACAGGTACCAACGGTTACGGACAAAAGAATGTTACCTAATTGATCATAAACACTGGACATCCAGCACACAACTACAACACAATAGAACAATAGAACTCCAACAAGAAAGTAAATTTACAGCACAAAGAAACAATTGCAATCTTTTGGACAGGACAAACAAATGGGCAACCCTACAACATGAATTTCTTCCTCCTAAAATAACACAAATTACTTTAAAACAAGGATTGAAGTACACTTATTTAATTCTCGAAAAAAGCAAAAGTGACAGTTCAAGTAATAGATCGAAGAATATAGATCTTTGTCCGATGCAAGAACATTATTTCATCCTAAAATGCATCAAAGAAGAAACGACAGCGATGGGCAGGATAGGTCAGGGACTTGTGCAGCAATTACTAGTCAAATATCACAGCAAAGATATTGAAATTATCACTGCAAAGTTGTTGGATAAAAATAAAGAATGTCACCAGCATCTCCATCAAATTAGAAATTAGAGGGCAATAAGTCTTGCCATTTTCTAGAATATTTACAAAACAGTGGCACATCATCCTGGGAAAAAATTTGGCATTGATATTTCTCCTAACCTAGCACACCTCAAAGCTAAGAAGATGAGAGGCTTCAGGTTCTAAAGATAATAGGGAATCGAGGTTCACCCTAAACCACCCTACTAGGCAAGACAACAGAAGCTTCGAGAAGAAATGAGCAATGCCTGTGTGCCCGGAGCTCAAGAGCAGTGGAAACACAATTAGGTTAAAACCACTGCACCAAAATAACGTTCCTACGAATTTTGGTGCTATGGCTCACTCATAATATATACAGCATGGACAACCAAGAGAGACTGTGAGTTCCCTAGATGATTTAAACTACCTATGATTGACAGACCTTGTCTTCTCCAGAACCTGCACCTTGTCAAGAAGCTCTTGTATAGTATTTGATGCATCCTGAAATCGAGTCAAGAAAATCAATTGACTATTCACTTCCTAAAGGGAAGTTGCAAAAAATTGAGTAAAGAAGTTCACCTTCAACTTCTTTCTCAAGTTCTCCTCCTCCATATCACGGCGTTGTCTCTCCTCCGTGAATATGTCTATTAAACTTTCTTGCTCCTTGTTAAGTTCCTCTATTTTTCTAGTCGACTCCTGCAGCTGAACATGGAGCAGAAGTATTTCAGTTTCTTTAAAGAACCCATCAAAATCTAGTCCAACAGAGTTTCACCATTACTATTACAAAAATAAACTGTAGATAGATTCAATAGCAGGAACCACAGAAATGTCCAAGGACCTTGAGGTCATGTTTTCAGTTACCAGAATGAAGAAAAAGGAACATGAACAAGTAGTACTCATATCCACCTATAAAGCTTTCATGCACAGAAATGCGGCTAGATTGGTGAACAGTAAACATCAAAATCTCATCTAACCTGAGCTTCAAGTGATTTGGATCTCTCTCTTTCAAGTTGTAAATCACGTAACAGATCACCTAAAATCTCTTCCTCTTTCCTCCGCAACCTGTTGAATAAATAAACATTTTGATAGCTCATATGAACCTAAAATGCTACAAAATAGCTTAACAATAATGCAAAGGTTGAAGAGCAAGCACCTTTCTTTAAGCTCACGATTCTCTGCTTTTAACTGCTCTAGAGACTCCGTGAGGTTATCTGGCAGCATGCCCTCATTCTCATCAGCATCTCCCTATTGGGCCAAACAACAAATTTATCAATTCCACTATCTGCTCCAACTCTCCATGAAATAAATTCTATTGAAGAGCAATTTTCCCCAATGAGAACCTTCAAAAGTTGATGAGCGCAATTAGGTGCGCAAAATTTTGGGCCATACCAACCCCCCTCCCTACCCAAAAAAGCACTGACAGTGTTCAGTGAGAGTCCATGGTAATGAATGTTAGAATCTCCTGTAGCTTCAAAATTTTCATCAAGACATATGAATATCACTTCAAAAAAAGCACACTGGCTACAAATGCAGCAATTTAACATGATACTCTGGCATATATCGCTAATTGGAGATATTCTATTATTAAGGATCCTAACCCTTTCCTAAAAATAAGACATCCAGAAGAAGATTTGGAGGTTAAAGGGCTCATAGATCTGAAATAACCTTTGATCTTGAACTTCTAGTAACTCGCTTGAGGCTTCCACCAGGAGAACATACTTGCTCAGCAACTCTTTGTCCAAAGCCTGGCGGTGAATGCATAACCCTAGAGCCATCTTTTCCATTAGTATGCTTCTGATGTCCACCTGGTTGATAGCCATCTTTTCCATTAGTATGCTTCTGATGTCCACCTGGTTGATAGCCATCTTTTCCATTAGTATGCTTCTGATGTCCACCTGGTTGATTCTTTGGAAGGACAACTTGGACACTATCATCGCTGTCATCTTCGGCAGAAGTTGATGGCTCCAAAGAACTTGGTATGTTTCTAGATCTTCTGGTTTTGCCATCATGCTTGCCATTAAGATGCCCAACACCATTGCTCTTCTCAGATGACTTTCCGGAACTATTATGTTTCGATTGAGATGCTGAAGGAGGATAATCAGGAGAATTCTCTGTTGAAAAACATAATTATGTACTTATCAATTATAATAAGAAACAGATATAATCAGAAGGCAAGATCACCTACAGTTATTAAAAAAATAAACAAATCAAGAAAAAACAAAAAACCTTAATAACAAACGTAATATCTTCTTTGAAAATAGAGATTAATGTGAAATATATGAAGTTGTGAACACAAGTCCCCAGACAAAGAGTCAAACCTTACTAAAGGTTGTGTAAAGCATTGATGAAGGATAAAAAAATAAGATAAAAAAAGAAAACCTAGGATACCTCGTGCAATAGCTTTCCTATTCCGCCTAGGAGCATACCCAATTTTGTGACAAAGAGTTGACCTGGAAAAGAAATTAGGAGTACACTAAGTACATGTAACTCTGGAAAAGCACAACACGGAGATGAAACAGAACACACCAGTAAGTTTTCTGCATCTGCACTAATCGTGCTTCAAGTCTTGAAAGAACTGTCGTACGCTCAAACCCTTGCTTGTCATGTGCTGGTTCAACAAAATTGGCTTCCAATACACCTGGCATCAAATAATGCAAAACAATAAGCACTTTAAACAGGCAAGCTATAAAAGAATGACTTTTAAGATAAAAGAGCAGACCTATAACTCCACGCCCGTCACTTCCAGGAGCATGCCAAAGCCTCCAAAATGGCTGACAACAGAAGGAAACTTTAGTACAGATCACTAGACCACAAAATGGAGAATGTTCTGCCATGCAAAGGCTCCAAACTATGCATCTCTTACTGACAATAGGGAAAGTCTACATAAACTCACATACACCATATGTTAACAAAGTTGGGAGTGGATGAGAAAATTGTTCTTTTTCGGATTAGCAGATGGCAGATTGGGGAGAACAACGAAATTATTTCACTGCAGGATAAGGTAAAACATCTAGCGCATGTCTCATTACCATGTTTTTTCGCTAATATGGTTCATTACTCTAGTTTTCAGGGTAATCTTTATAATACAGATACAAAATGTTGCCTTCTCAAACAAAAGAAAAAAGAAAGGTGCATGTCTCATAAAAATAGATCTGATATACAAATCCCCTAGTACACAAATGTACTGGGGAAAGCATTCCACCACATAATCAAGAAGATATCAACAACCTACAGCGATCATCACTGTTTACTAAAACAATTGCACTTCAGAAAAAAGACAAACCTTAATAAGTCTATTTTTGTGATACACATTAAACCCTTGAACATCAATATGGGATTTAGCATCCTTTACAAACCCAATTTTCACAGTAGCCACCATCTACAAGCATCAAAATGAAAATGAATGAGAAAAAGATTGATCACTGAAAGAAAATCCAAATCAAGTTTGCCTTCAAAGACATATTACATTGGAATCTTTGGGTACTCCATCCGTGCCAGACATAGGGCGATACGTGACCTCTTGGGTCATCATCATATCATTTACTATGTTATGGTGCTCAACATCTTTACCCCGCAGAATAATCCGAAAGCCAGGAGCAACTCTTAGGTATAGAATTGATGCATAGCTCTGAAAATCCAAGAATACACGTGATAAAAACAAAATTACTTTCTAAGAAGAAGAATCATATACGTATTTTGTGAATATAACAAACATCAAACGCACTTAGCACTAGAGAAAAGACAGAGCTACAGGAATTCCAATCAAAGTCTATGCAAAACCATGCATTGAACTGAAACCAAGCAAGGGCTAAAGAAAGAGTAGGTAAATAAGCAAAGAATAGTACAACAACATACCCAGGGTAGTCCCACAATGTGGGGTATGGGGAGCGTAGAGCAGTGGCGGAGCCAGAATTTCGACTAAGGGGTGTCAACATATAAGGAAGTAAAATCGTGTAGAAGCCAAGGAGTGTCAATATGTGATTTATGTACATACAAAAATATTTTTACCAAGCTACACGGTATAATTTTCTGACAAAGGGGTGTCGGTTGACACCCCTCAAGTATATGTTGTTCCGCCACTAGCGTAGAGTGTAAGCAGACCTTAACTCTACCTCAGAGGTAGGGAGGCTGTTGTTTCCAATAGACCCTCAGCTCACATAGGCGAAGAATAGAAGAGGAAACAAATCAGCTATTAAAAATCAAATAGGCTAGTTAACTAATCAGAACACAGTAATATTAACACAAAAATACACCCTTATTTTAGTATTACCTCTATTGTTTCAACATCTTCATAATTGTAAAGATGGTAACATTCCTGTTGAGCTTTAGAAGCAAAATATCAAACAAAGAAAAAAATTATTCAGACATTCACACCTCTTAAGTGGATTGTATCATGTTCTCACTCTTTGCCAACACCATTACAGTGGAGAAAAGATGGAAGAAGAGAATAAAAACAATATACATTTATGACCAGGTTGTCTCAAAATTCTCTGAATCAAGCATTTAATAACCAAGTCAGCTCCAAAACTTGTCTTCCCTTTCACAACATACGGGAAAGTTGTTGACAAAGACCTCTATGTACATTTTGCAACTGATCCTCATAGGAAAAGGCCCAATTAGGAAATAGACCAAATTCATTTAAACTATGCATTACATAAATTAAGAGAAACTGATTCATTTCACTCCAATTTCATCACATAATTCCAATAAATCAATTCATCAAGCAACTCGTATCTCTTGGCTAAAACACTATTCAGATAATCTGAAAATTCTACAAGTGTAACTAGAGCATATTTTGCTGGTTAAGAATTGCATTTCTCTTATTCTGATGGGCAAATAAAATTAAGTACTTGCACTTAATCTCAAAACATGAAAATAATTGGTCAACGTTCTACTAAGAGTATACAACAACAAACCCAGTGTAATCCCACAGATGAGTCTGGAGGAGGGTAGAGTGTACGTAGACCTTACCCTTACATTGAAAAGGAGGCTGTTTCTGGTTGTATGAACGATAAAAAGGAGGCAGCAGCTACAAGCAGAGCTCTACCAAGGAATATACAAGGAAAAAATTGGTCTACAACTACTTATGATCAAATGTTAGGATGATGAACTTGCAACCAAGACGCACTTGGAATGCTTAGGATTGACGATAGTCGCTAGCCGCTCTTGATGTAGATCAATATGGGCAAAGGCAAATACCCACTTGATAACTACAACTGCTCCTTGGTTCCAGAAGCATATAAACTTCCACAATCCAAGCAGGGACTTAGAACTGCTGCAAAAAAAACTATATTGGGAAAATACTTATCCAACTAGCCTGCGACATTTTTTAGTTAGAGATAAATTTAAGTGCCCTTCATTTGGATTTAAGAGTCGAGGAACTAATCAATTTCATCACAGAACCTCCACAGTAACATGAAATCCAAATAACCTGGTGACGTGTAACAAAAATGCTCCCACTAAACATGGCAGAACAATTATTACTTACCCTTAGTGAATGTCTATATGTCAAGAAATGCCGAGAGTTCGGATACTGTTTGGCCATCTGTATGCTCCTCTCATCACGGTTGACTCCTCTTATTTGAATATCCTGAAGGAGAGAATGAAAGAAGCATGTCACTCGAAAACCACGAATCATGTAACAGCACGTTAAGTAAAGCAGAAAAACAAGTAACAAGTAAAGAGTATTAAAGGGTTTGGTTACATGTGGATCAGCATCAAAATCTAGCTCGAGTAGTCCTTGGTCATCCTCCCACAAATTGTACACTATAATCCGAGTGCCTTGACCTTTCATCGGATTAAACTGCAGCATGTATAGAAAAAATAGAATGATTAGCAGATACACCACATCCAAAACTGAACGACGGAGTAACATAGAAACAAAATTGACAAGGCAATATCATGTCAACCCAAGTATTGAACTTTATAAGTGTGTGCCAAAAGGGTTCATTAATTTCAACCTCGACAGGCCATGGACTGAAAACAGGAACTACAATGGGCACATGCTCAAGGTAAGAATACGATTGCTGAAGTTCATTGAATACTGAATAGTGCTGGCTGGAAGCATATACCATATAGGACAGGAGAGGAGAGGAATACACAGAAAAGCTTCACAATGGGGTTGCACACTGGCTGGGCCAAGGTTAACAATGGAGAGCTAGATTTTTTAAGCTAAATTTGAAGTTATGAGAGCTGAATTAAATTTGGGGGTGAGTATATGTTCTATTTAATACTGCAATCAGGATTCAGAGTTACACACCCTTTAGCAAATCTTTCCAACTGTGCACTTAGTAATTTAAATTACTCATATGACAGCTTATATCTTCTCATTGCTCCTGTACAAGATCTTTCATGATAGTTTAACAATCCTGGAAGGAATTAAAATACTAGCTAAAATACTACTAGTTAGCTAGAGAATTTTTTGTAAGCTCAAATGCCATATCTTGTAAATTATGCATCTTCCTGATGCTGTTATTAATACCACTTATCTTATCAAAAAAAAAAAAGGAGGGGGAATGATTTTGAAAATTTACCTGTCTAAGAAGATCAACTTCACTTGAAAAAGGGGACCACTCAACTATGGTCTCAAGATTTCTATCCCAGTCACCAGGAGATGATCGTATTATCTTGTCCCACCCTTCTCTTTTTTCGTAGTCAAGCTGTCACAATAGCAAGAAAACAAACATCAATATAAGAGCTTGTGAACACATCTAAAGTCATTAATATCCAAGAAAGTTCTAAAATATCATTCTCATGAAGGGAATAAGTGATCCCTCTTTCCTAGGACTTATCAATATAAGTCTAGAGATGAAATGCAAGAACCACTATCAAGGGAAAAAGTAAAATCAGGACACCATTAGCAAGGCCAGAAACATGTTTATCAGGTTTTCTTAAAAAGCTGTAGCTTAGAGATAAGATAACACAGGCAAAGATGGGAGGAAGAGCGCAAACACTAGTACAAAATCTCCACAAGCAACATTAAGTCCTGATACAGCACACAGCTTGAACAAAATGGAAGGTAGAATGCACATTTGTACAAAGTTTACACCAACAACTGAACTCCATACAAAGCACAGAGTTTGTTTACTTCGTTTAGATATCTAACACGAGAATAGGGGCAAAGAGTTGATTAATTGGGTTTCTAATTAGTGAATTGTAATAGAAGCATTTCAAGATGCACTACCTCAGATAGGGACACTGGATCCTCATTTTCACCATAAGATCACAACAACTATGGATTAAAAACTATGGAAATTTGAAATAATTCAGCATGCCTACCATGGGAACAATGATGTCTTCCATTCCTTTGTTTCGCAAGAATGTGTAGGACAGCAATCCAATGCTCTGGGTGGGGCTGAAATCAAAAGAAAATACAGGGTAAATCATAAGTAGCAGTATCCAACCACCACAAGAATAAAGAGAGAGAAACGAGGGTCAAAAGAAGATGGCTTTGAGGTGTGTAATCACTTTCTTTAAAGAGATATTTCCCGCATACATATTGGGGAAAATACAAACAAATCCGTTCAGGCTACAACAAAGCCCTTTGTTTATACATGCAGATTTTTCTTAGTCTACTTCTAGTCTAGAGAGTCTATATATTATAGAACTTAAGGGATGACTCTTCATAAGAGTCATGTTCTTTCATGAACTTTTCATAAGATTCATGTTCTTTCATGAACAAATAACTTTTCATAACAATCATGTTCTTTCATGAACATATGTGTGTTCAATTTAAGACCTCTATATATTTCAAAATATCCAACAATCAAATAATCACAAATACAAGAGTGGAAGACTGCACAAGAGCCTGAGGAAGTTGAGATCAGACGTCACTAACTTCCAGAAATAAAAGGGAAACTTAGGAAGGAATCTACGGTGCAAGGAACCAACCGTAAGGCCTTGCACTCGCAACTCACATGCCATTCTCATGGATACAACAAACATGTGTTACACGGTCTCCATTTTCCTCAAATGTACCCCACGACAAGGGATGGCTACTTCATGCATAAGCTTTCAACACACTCCTAAGTTGCTAAAAATTGAATGTACCCACACAGGATATTTGATTGCACAAAGTTTCATGCTAAGTTGCGGACTCTTCACTTTCGATGCCGCACACGTGTTGGATTCTCCAAAAATACACTACTTTTGGCATGGCAAATCCGACACGCACCCCTTAGAAGAGTTTGTGCAACATAGGTTTCATGTGACTTGATTGGAAATTAGGCACCAGACATTGGGTTACCAGTTTAGACACCTGGATTCCCAGGTATCATTGGTCTTAACATAAGAGCTAGCTTTAAGCATATGGAAGTGCTATGCTAGCGCTAGGCAAATGTCCCATATCATACAACTCCAGCCACAAACTACTTCTCCAATAAACCCAAGTGTTTCCCCAGTTGACAAAATATACTTAAGCAGACCAAACAAAAATCACTCTCTCAATGACATGAAACTAGAAATCAACCAGATCAGACCCAAGTTTGCAATGAGCACATGCATAACCTTCGGGATCCAGTCCCATGTTTTTTTTTCCTTTTCCTTTGACAAGAACTGTGAAAGTGATCTGCAACAAATATTTTGAGCAACCACCTTTTGGAATTGGCAACCAGCTAACTAATACAGGGAACAAAAAATGAACTTGCATGTCATTGATGATGCAAGCAAAGGGTACACCAGCCCTATAAATAGACGCCAGTTTCCCCTCATTTATCCATCCAAGCAACACAAGGAAAGACACAATACATCAGTTGCATAGAGAAAATCACTGACAGTACAAGGAAATAGTCTAGGAGGAAAAAATAGAGTGTGAGCGAGACTGTAATAAGGTAAGAAAATCAAAAGAGGATTATGTCCTTAAGAGTGTATAGTGTTTTGAGTACTTTACTCGAGACTACAAAGGTAAAAATCCTTGCTATAGTGAAATCAATCTCTCCTCTCTAGTCGTGGTTTTCCCTTTAGTTTAAAAGGGTATCCATGCACAAATTCTCGTGTCCTTGTTACTCAGTGTATTATCGTTGATTACCATATCGAGCCCATACAACTTTTTATCCCCGCCTTTTGCCCTCAAACTCTTCATACAAGTGCTCCAATCCTATCGTTTTAGCCGTCGTAACCGTGAGCTAAGTTTCCTTCTTCGTCGCCTTATACTTCTCCCTATTCTTCCGTTTGTCCTCTTGATCTGTGCTTTCCACTAATGTTGCATAAGCAGCCTTTGTGGCTTCCACATCTCCTTGAACCTTCCCATTCCATCACCGTAAACCTCAACCCCCTCCCTCAAGTTGCTTCCCTGATGCATCCACTTACTTACAGTTAGGGGTGTTCACGGGTTGGTTTGGATCGGTTATTGGTCAAAACCAAAACCAAACCAACTTAATCGGTTTTAAAATTATCAAAACCAAACCAAACCAAATATAGTATACATTTATCGGTTTGGTTGTTTTCGATTTTGGTTTGGTTTGGTTCGGTTATTTGGTTATTAACCATACATAAAAATAAAAGAAACAATTCATTCAAAACGTGAAAAAAGTGACAACAATCCATTCAAACGAAAAAATAGTTAGAATGATTGGCATTATAGAACTTTCGATCATTAAATTTACTGAATAAAACTTCAAAATTCACTATTTTGGCATAGAAGCAAGAGACAATGACATTTTCATAGACACTCATATACATGAAACCGATAAGAAAATGTTCTCACCTTGGACATTTTTTCTTTCATAAGTAAATTATAAATAATTTTGATGAAACATATATAAAATCTTTTAAATTGTTTATGAATATAATATATTATGTGTATAATAATAAAATTTATGTATATAACTTGTTGGTTCAGTTCGGTTATTTCTTCAAATTTTTCGATCAAAACCATAACCAAACCAAATAATATCGGTTCTAAACAATCTAAAACCAAACCAAACCAAAACCCAAATTAAATCGGTTCATTTAATTGGTTTGGTTTGGTCTTTCGATTTGGATCGGTTTTTATCCAAACCATGAGCACCTCTACTTACAGTATACCCGCTGCTTCCTCACCCCTACCCCAATAGCCACCTCTCCCACAACTCCTGAGCTTTGGCCTTTGTCAAGCGTCCCCCATTTAATCTTAGGTTGGTCATATAAGGTTCTCTTCGTCCTCTTGATATCCAAATCTACAACTATGAGCTTATGTTGGGTTGTAAGATCCTCGCTCCAGATAACCTTGGAGTCTTTACAAGGACCTCTACCTCCCACTAAGGAGTAGGTAATCCATAAAGGTCCTAGGCACCGTACTATGGCCTCTCACCACCTCAACCAACTCCTCCCACATCATCAAACTGATATATAAATACATGGAAGAAAAAAAAATGAACTTGCTAATGGCATTGATGATGCAAGAAAGGGGTATACTAACCCTATAAATAGAGGGCATTCTTCCCTCATTTGTTCATCAAAGATACACAAAGAAAGAGAAGCAATACATAACTTGTAGAGCGAAACTCACTAATAGTAGGAGAAAAAAAATTGTGATTGATATTATAGTAAGGTGGAAAAGTCAATAGGTTTCTTTCTTTTGAATGTATAGTAGTCTTCAAGCATTTTACTCAAGACTGCAAAGTGTAACAATCTTTGTTATATTGAAATCAATTGGTCCTCTAGAGAGGTGATTTTTCCCTTAATTTAAGGGGGCTTCCGCGTAAAATTCTCGATGTCCTTGTTTCGCATTTTATTATGGTGCGACGTGTCTATTGCAGTTATAAACTGTGAATATTGTTTTTGTAGGTCATTTTTTTCCAACATAACCCTCGGCTTATTATCTCAATTTGTATAAGATTCTTGTTTTATATTTTATTTTATTTGTTTATTATTGGTGGGGGTGTCAGATAGGGGAGTGGATGGAAATCAACATTGTGCAGTGGAATTAAAGCTGCGTTGATGGGTCGAAACTACCAGCATAACCTCACAAATTTACTTCTCGTGTTTTGGCCCCGACCATCCCCCATCACACTTTATACCTTCCCTGCAGAAGGCAGGGTAAAAAGAGATTTTACTTTTCCCGCTCCGTTACCATACATAGTTTTTAACCAAGGCAACAATTTCAAAAATATCATCTCATTGTTCCCATACAATCACTTATTAACTGATAACGGGAAGCATGTCATGAACTCTGGTGTCCTACTCTTTGCCAATTAGGAATACCATTAGGACTGTGTGAGAATCATAATATTCTGTTCTACAAGTTCTAAGAAAATCATAGAATGGTGATCATCCAAGGGATGTATGAAGCTACACATAATATTAGAAGAAAAGCTGCACATATGAAACCAAGAACATAAAATGCTGATGAGCAGAGAGGGAACAAATACACGAGTTATGACAAGTCCATGAATGAAACTCCAGTAACATGTAAGCCCTAGGCCAATTTCCAAACTTGTACCAGTTGAACTGAGAAATGGAAGAACAGAGTAAGAGACCATTAAAAGGAGGCAGAAGTAAGAACCTTTTCCCTGGCTTCCCACCAGAACGAGAGAAAACAATCACATCAGCTCCAAGTCTCATGGTACTTGTCTTGAATCCATTTCCATCTATACAAAGCACAAAAATAACTTATACGCTGAAGTAGACATTATTGATAATCAGAACAACTGAACAGAAACTAACAATATCAAAAGCATTTCATATCAAAAGCATCTCAGTTAAAACTCACACTGCCCAATAGTATCAGCCATTTTGCTTTTCACAGAATATCCCAGAGACATGCAATGCCTCATTCGCTCAGGATCCATCCCACCACCATTATCTGTAGAAGAATGAGCAAGATAAATGACAGTTTTAAGAAGCATATGATACAATGAAGAGGGAAGTTTAGTGTCTTGATCAAAGAGAAAGGTTTAGTGCATATAAGAAATAAATATTTCAAACAATAACATTTTTAGGGTGGTTAGGAAAAGATTTAGCCAGCTTATTGCTCCTACTAATGAAGCATAGCCTATCCACAGTTTTATACCATCTAATAGGGAACTCCATGGTGGGGCATCGTGTTCTCCTGAGAACTAACATTGAGATTGCTTCTCCTCAAAATACACAGAACACAAATTGATGTCCTCTTTACAGGTTGTCTGATTCACAAGAATTGAAGAGAAGTGGAAGTACATAACCATTCTCCACTTCACCAATCCCAATAAAAGTTAAAAAGGAAAATGGAGGGAAGAAAAATAAAAGGAAGGAAAGGGTATAGAAGTTGATTGGTTGGGATAGTATAGAAGGTTTTCCTGAAGACAGCTTATCTGACATAAAAAAGACTGGCATTCTCATTTGTAGAGAACGCATAGTTCTAGCAACCATATAAAAAGCAAAAGAAATACCTTCAATCAGAAGCATTCTGCTCCCATCCTTTTTGTTTTTGACCATATCAATGTTCACATATGTTGCTCCATTGGACACCTTATCAAAGAGAGTGAACTTAAAACAGTATGTTAAGTGACAAGAAATAAATGAGAGTAGTAAGCCAAAAAGTATACCTCATCCAATGAATTGTCCAAAAGCTCAGCAAGAGCTGCAGGATTGGATACGATCAGAAAAGATGAAATCAAGAGGGAAAAAACTGTAAGGGTATGTAATAAACCCTACAAAAAATATGGTTAAGATCAAATGAGATAATTTACCTCCAAGTACCCACTTGTGACTTGTGGCATTGGAGTGTAGGAATTTGGGATGAACTCGGACATGATCTATACCACCTACAAGATTAAGAAAGTATGTTACTCTCACAGCTAAAATAATCCTCTTTACTACAAGAATCCAAACAGGAATATATATAATATCCTTTCATTAGTATATATAACCAGAGATATTAATACTTCCAATAAGGTTAGTTAATAAATGGTCTTACTAGTATACAACTTTGAAACATTCTATTGATCGAATAAAGGAGAGAGATTTTCCACTTAAACTTAATTAACTTACCTAATTAACCAAAAATAAATAAATAACCATAGTTTCCCCATATCCAAAAAAATTGAGAAAATCTAATTCACCCACCCAATTAAGCTTACATAATAATCCACCAAAAATTACAGTCATTAAGGTTCCGAACTACTACTCCTAGCTTACACCATATTCCACAAGATTTAGACAATCCAATTCACCCACCAAATTTAAGGCACAATAATCCACCAAAGAAAAAATTACAAACTAACCATCATTAACGCTCTGAACTAACTCAGAGTTTCCCCCATATTCAACAAGATTTAGACAATCCAATTAACCCACCCTTTTTAAGCTTAGAGTAATCCACCAATATGTACAAAAAAAAAACAATTCATAGAAAAATTAAACGGAAAGGGAACATAATTGCTGGCATGCACGAATCAAAAACAACAAATTCAACTAATTTTCTTAGTTCAAGTTGCTCGAGAAAAATAATACAAACCTGATTTTAGTCCTGAACTAGCAGAAGGAGACCCTTCATAATCTCCAGCCTTCCAAAACTGCTTGCAATTACTCCCCGAAACACTTAAATCCCTATTACTTCCATTAGGCGGAGCCGGTAACTGCAATGGAGGTTCCTTAGGCGGTGGCAAAGGATCCAAAAATCCCAAAGGCAATGCGAAGTTCACATCCTGTACACTCTTCCTCTTCTTCTTCGGCCTATTACTACCATTACCGGAAAGACTACCGGAATCGGAGTCGGAATCGGAGTCGGAATCATCACTACTACTTAGATCAATAAACACCGATTGAGGCGCCGGTGAAGATTTCTCCGGCGGCTTCTTCGTAAACCCTCTATTATCATCCAAAATTTCTTGCTTAATTACAATATTGGAATTCGCCATGCAAAAAGGAAAATTAGAGAGGACAAAGCAAGATTCAAAGAATTTTGATCAAAAGGGTTTTCACGTACACGATGATACTATATAAACCGTCTGATTTTCTGGAGATCTGTTGCCGGTTTTTTGGCTGTGGGTCCCCCTTTTTAATAAGCGTTAATGATGTTTTGTTTAGCATTTTGGCTCGGTTTCAAGACCGACCCTTTATAGATTTTTGGCTGGGTTCAACACCGACCCTTCACTTGCTCTTGTGAGCAAGAATTTTGATTCGCCCAATTTTAATTTTGATTCATCGAATTTAGTGGATTGTCTATTTAGCTTTTCCATGAACTAATAAATATACATTCATGTATATATATTTTTTAGGTGATATGAATTTTTTTAGATAACAATCTACTAATTTAACATTCATTATGGTGATTTTTGGAGTAAATTATTCACCATTATAAGATACATTGAAATAATAAAATAATTTTCTCCCTTATCTATATATCTTGAAATAAAATAATTTGTTTTAATTTTTTTTAAAAGCGACGGACGGCATCGCTTAGTCCGTCTTTTTTTTTCTGGATTTTTGTGACAAATATATATAATCAATAATTAATTATTTTATATAGATATCGACGCAGTCCGTCGCTTTTTATTAATTTTAATTGTTTAATTATTTTTTAAATAAGCGACGGACAACATCTTTATGTCCGTCGCTTCTTGGTCAAAAATATGGTCAAATATTTTAAGAAAGCGACGGACAATGTCTCTTAGTCCGTCCGTCGCTTTTTGGTCAAAATGTTGGTCAAACATTTTTTAAAAAAGCGACGGACATAGAGACTTTGTCCGTCGCTTTTTATTAAATATCTAAAACAATATAAATGATTTCCCCCCATTTCCCCATTTGTGAAATCTCCTCCTTCTCTCCACTCCTCACCACCATTGCGTCGTTGCTGCCACCGGACCTGCCGCTCGCTAGCCGCCTGCTTCTCCAAAGCTGCCAGACCAGAAGCCACCGCCGCCGTCTGCCACTCCTCTCTCATCAATCTCTCCTTCTCCTTTAAGGTTAGGGTTTAATAATGCATCAAAAAAAATTTCAAATTGAACTATAATTTGATTTTGTTAGCTATTTATTTGTAATTAGTTTATTGAATGTGTGTTTATTGATTGTTAGTTTGAATTAGGATTATTAGTTAGTGAGTGAATTGAAAATTTTAATGTTAGAGTTAGTTTGAATTAGGGTATCTTAGAATTTGTTTGAATTTGGGTATTTTTTGAGTTAATTAGTTTTATTTTGGGATGTAGGATTAGTTTGAATTAGGCAATAAGTTAAGGAGTTGTTTGAATTTGGGTATTATTTGAGTTTGTTTGATTTTCGGATTTTAGGACTAACTAGAGTTTGAATTAGTATTGAGATTTTAGGACTAATAGTTTGAATTTGGGATTAGGAATAATAGCTAGCTAGTTTGACTTTAGGATTTTAGCACTAGTTAGATTTTAGGATTTTAGGACTAGTTTGAAATTGTGATTTTAAGACTAGTTTGAATTTGGAATTTAGGACTAGTTTGAATTGTACTAGAGATTTTAGGACTACTAATAGTTTGAATTTGGGATTTTAGCTCTAGTTTGATTTTTGAATTTTAGGAGTACTTTGAATTTGGGATTTTAAGACTAGTTTGAATTTGGAATTTAGGACTAGTTTGAATTATATTTGATATTTTAGATAGTTTGAATTTGGGACACTATCTTGCTAGTTTGAATTTGAAATTTTAGGGATTTGAATTACAACTTAATTAGAACTTATAATTAAGTATAACTTGAATTTACTATAAATTGAACTTAATTAGGAATATGAACTTGAAATGTTGTTGACTTTAATTTATTAGAACTTAATTTTTATTCTTATTAGAACTTAGATTTTATTTGAACTTAATTAGAATTTTGTAGTACTTGAAAATCTTATTGACCTTAATTAATTAGAACTATATATAAATTAATTAGAACTATATTAAACTTAATTAATTTATAATAACTTGAAAACTTAATTAGGAATTAATATAAACTTAATTTTGATCAACTTGAACTTAAAATTTGAACTTGAACTTAGAATTTGAACTTGAACTTAGAACTTGAACTTGAAATTAGTACTTGAACTTGAACTTAGAACTTGAACTTAAAATTTGAAGTTGAACTTCTTGAACTTGAAATTAGAACTTGAACTTGGAACTAATTAGCTTGAATATATAACTAATTAAGTTTAGAAATTAGATATGAACTTGAATTGAAAACTTGAACTTATTAAAACTTGAATATATATCTATATGTATATAACTAATATTCTTGGATTTGACGTTTATATTTAACTAATTTTAAAACTTTTCTTGCTAGGCAACTGAGGAAGCTCAACATCTACAAAAGTTGATACAAGACTAGATTGCTTCTTTCATCAAAGTAGGAGATAAGGTTGGTGCTTCTAAATTTCTAAAGTTCAAGTACAATTATTTTCAATAATGTGTTTGTGTCCATCTAGTATTGATACTTAGCTTTAATTTTGTGATAATTTTTTTGTGTCCATCAATTGTTTGTTAAGCATAAGTACCAACACTAGTTGATCCTATTGATGACAAAATTGATTTTCTTGCAAGATCAATTTGTGTCCATCTAGTGTTAATATTAAGCTTTAATTTAGGAATAATGTGTTTGTTTAGCATAAGTACCAACACTAGTTGATCCTATTGATGACAAAATTAATTTTCTTGCAAGATCGATTTGTGTCCATCTAGTGTTGATATTAAGCTTTAATTTAGGAATAATGTGTTTGTTTAGCATAAGTATCAACACTAGTTGATCCTATTGATGACAAAATTGATTTTCTTGCAAGATCGATTTGTATCCATCTAGTGTTGACACTTAGCTTTAAATTTAGAAATAATATTTATTAAGCATAAGTACCAACACTAGTTAATCCTATTGATGACAAAATTGATTTTCTTGCAAGATCAATTTGTGTCCATCTAGTGTTGACACTTAGCTTTAAAAAGTTGTTTAGTTGTTAAAGTTAAAAAGTTGTTTAAATAAGTTAAAATAAATAATGTGATTTAGTTGGTGGATTTAGTTGTTGGAATTAAGTCAACACTAAACTAGTTAAAGTTAAAAAGTTATTAAGTTGTTTAAATAAGCTAAAATAAATAATGTGGTTTAGTTGGTGAATTAATTAGTTGTTGGAATTAAGTCAAAACTAAACTAGTTAAAGTTAAAAAGTTGTCAAGTTGTTTAAATAAGTTAAAATAAATAATGTGGTTTAGTTGGTGAATTTAGTTGTTTCAATTAAGTCAAAACTAAACTAGTTAAAGTTGTTAAGTTGTGTAAATAAGTTCAAATAAATAATGCGGTTTAGTTGGTGGATTTAGTTGTTGGAATTAAGTCAACATTAAACTAGTTAAAGTTAAAAAGTTATTAAGTTGTTTAAATAAGTTAAAATAAAATGTAGTTTAGTTGGTGAATTAATTAGTTGTTGGAATTAAGTCAAAGCTAAACTAATTAAAGTTAAAAAGTTGTCGAGTTGTTTAAATAAGTTAAACTAAATAATGTGATTTAGTTGGTGGATTTAGTTGTTTGGAATTAAGTCAATACTAAACTAGTTAAAGTTAAAAAGTTATTAAGTTGTTTAAATAAGCTAAAATAAATAATGTGGTTTAGTTGGTGAATTAATTAGTTGTTGGAATTAAGTCAAAACTAAACTAGTTAAAGTTAAAAAGTTGTTAAGTTGTTTAAATAAGTTAAAATAAATAATGTGGTTTAGTTGGTGAATTTAGTTGTTTCAATTAAGTCAAAACTAAACTAGTTAAAGTTGTTAAGTTGTGTAAATAAGTTCAAATAAATAATGCGGTTTAGTTGGTGGATTTAGTTGTTGGAATTAAGTCAACATTAAACTAGTTAAAGTTAAAAAGTTATTAAGTTGTTTAAATAAGTTAAAATAAAATGTAGTTTAGTTGGTGAATTAATTAGTTGTTGGAATTAAGTCAAAGCTAAACTAATTAAAGTTAAAAAGTTGTCAATTGTTTAAATAAGTTAAACTAAATAATGTGATTTAGTTGGTGGATTTAGTTGTTGGAATTAAGTCAATACTAAACTAGTTAAAGTTAAAAAGTTATTAAGTTGTTTAAATAAGTTAAAATAAATAATGTGGTTTAGTTGGTGGATTTAGTTGTTGGAATTAAGTCAAAACTATACTAGTTAAAGTTAAAAAGTTGTTAAGTTGTTTAAATAAGTTAAAATAAATAATGTGGTTTAGTTTAAGTTAAGCACACCAGAAAATACAAAAGTTATGATCATTTTATTATTGCACAAAATGTTAAACAAGTGTATTAGACCATCTCCAACCCACCTCTATTTTACTCTCCATTCTCTATATTTGGAGAGTAAAATAGAGAATGCTCACTCCAACCCACCTTCAAATCACCCTCTATTCTTCAAATTTAGAGAGGTGAATAGTAGTTCTCCAAATTTGGAGAATTACTATTCACACTCTCTATTTCACTTTTTCATTATTTTATTATTATTTCTATTTACTTTCTAATTAACATATTATTTTACATATGATTCCATTAATTAAATATCTAATATTCATAATTCTTTTTTAAATGTAATGTAATATTTTAAAAAATATTATTTAATATATACTATTTAATTTCAAATTAATAGTATTTTTTTTCTAATTTTTGTGAATAATAAAATTTTATTTTATTATTAATTTTAATTATAAAGAATACGCAAAATTAAAATGGCAAGATGAAAAAAAATAATTTTAAAATACAATACATTATATGTTAATTTAAATACAAGATAACAATACATAACATAATAATTTAACTACAAGATAACAATACAATATAATACATAACATAATAATTTAAATACAAGATAAAATACAATACATAATTGATCACAACAATAATTTAAAAATGTAATCTTCATATTCACCATTAGATGGATTTCTTCTTATTATAAACGATTGGATGAGATTCTCATCAGTACATTTAATATTTTTTAGATAAAACATTACTT